TATAAAGTAAAGTTACTTCCCTACTTTATAAATCACCATTACTGGGGAACCGGTGGGCGGTTAGAAAATGTTACTACTAACAGAGATACAAAAGTAGGTATAAAAAGGTTGACTACCCCTGGAGTAAACCATACAATATCTTAAAATATGTTGATTAGGTCTGCAATACTGCACATGCTGTGTATTTTTGTGGACAGACACATGGAGTCAGAGTGTGCACCCGAAATGTTTACTCATATAATGTACAAATCCCATCATCACCATTCCTTACCTCATATGACCAGACACACTGAGTACCACCAAATCGCCGAACACATCTGCCCACTTCCACATCCTCATGAGTCGTGTACATCTCCTGAAGACATTCACCTATATGTGGTACCATCCTTCTGAGAACCTCACGACTGAAGATCATTCCAGGTCCTCCCATGCAGAAGTTCTCTCCTGGTTCAAGACCCAATTTTCCAAGTTCTTCTGTATTTCCTAGTCCTGTCTGTCCCAAATAAAGGGGTTTGCTGCTATTCAATGACCGAAGGAACTCCTCTAATTTTTCACCTAGAAGAGGGAAAAATCAAACAATATTATTAACAGCACAAATCTTTTACATAGAAAGTAATATATTCACCTTTTAAAGTGCTCTTTGTATAATGGGCCTTACTCCCATTTCATGGGAATTAAATTGCATTTTATTGTGTAATGAAAATCAATTGTATTAGCAGAATCACAGTCAAGCCAACAGTACACAAACCCTTCTTTCAAAAACATGTTTCATAAACATGCGCCTTAAAAACACCTTCCATAATAATCTATTTACTCTTTGCTTGTATCTCTCTCTTTTTATGCAAACACATTTACATAAATTCATAATTTAGCACATATTTTTATTTTGATACATTCAGAAGCTGAGTGGTTTGGTTTTGTCCCCTCTTAAGGAAGATTCAAAAAAATCAATTTTTCACTGATTAGTATGGAAAACCCATATTTTGCTGTAGGCAGACACAGTACATGGTATTCTTGAGAGGAATCCTGCCTACTTACAGAGAAATATGTACAAGTGTTTTGAAGTTTAATTCCTTTAAATTCTTACTAAATTTAATAATACAACTTTAAAATACAAAGACAAAGGAAAAAATGGTTGAAATGTTTTGTCTTTGAAAAGAAAAAGATAACATAATGCTTCATATTACCGTAAGTACTATGATTGGAGATACTAGAACAAAGCGTTGTCTATGATTAGAAAAGAGGCATATCAATCACTAAGCTCTACTCCCCTTCTATCTTGTCATTTTAGAGAGAAATCACAACATATAGTAACAAATGGATTGTCTTTTGTAGTTCTGCAATACAAAGCCCACTAACCTACACAGAATTTAGGGTCCTACTCAAATGCTTATCATTCCGCAGGGATCCCTATTTATTTCAGTGATCCAGCTTTGTTCTGTTCAAAAAGTACAGAGTGCACTTATTACTTTGCAAAAAAATGATTTACATTCAACTATTTTAGTGGCAAGTAGTCAGAAGAGCTGAGATGTATTTATACAATAGATGAAGTAAAGGCTGTTTGATTAATTACAAGAAAGAATGATTTAGTTGTCTAGCTACCAAGTTTACATTCTTGTCCAAAGTATACTTTTCTAATAACTATAGAATGCTATATATTTACTCCAGGTAAGTAGATATAAAATTGTGCAAGCAGTCTTTGATTTAAGACCATAATTGATCCCCAAATTTCTGTTAAGTGAGACATTTGTTAAATGAAATTTGCCCCATTTTATAACCTTTCTTGCCACACTTGTTAAGTGAATCACTGCAGTTGATAAGTTAGTAACCTGGTTAAGTAAATCTGGCTTCCCCATTGACTTTCTTCTCAGAAAGTCGCAAAACTGGATCACATGATCCCGGACACTGCAACCATCATAAATAGGAACCAGTTGCCAAACATCTGAATTTTGATCACATGATCATGGGGTCATGCAAAGGTCATAACTATGAAAAACGGTCATAAGTCATTTTTTTCAGTGCCATTGTAACTTTGAAAGTCACTAAATGTTGTAAGTCGAGGACTATCCGTATTGCAAGGCACAATTTCAATGAGACATACTTGGTTAAAAAGCTAAGTTAGTTGGAATTAGAATTTACAAAACAACCTTATGAATTGAGACCTTTGATAAATATTACTGATACGCCTTTAAAATTCTGGAGACCTGACATTTTACTCTGCAATTTAAAGACTATGCCAGCTAAGAGCTGGTATTAATACCTTTGAAATAAAGAGAAAATAAAACTCACATCTGGCAATTTGCTATTTCAGAAACTATAAACCAGACTTCGACAACTTAATGCAGCTGCCTCCACATGTGTACAATGCAATTCCCATCAATGGAGATGATGGAAACAGTAGCTGAAAACATTTAGAGACACCACCACATTGAAAAGGACTTCTACAATTTTTTTCTTTCTAATTCCACTTATGTTTATTTATGTTGCATTCTATTTATGGACAGAGAGAGTTGGTTAACAATTTATCACTCTATAATTTATTACTTTTATAAAGCAGTATAAAAGAATATTAAATGAAGTTGAAAAAAGACTTTGTAAATTAGTTTGTACATTATATTAATAGTGTTTACATGTGGTATATTACAGAAATACTAATCTAGTTTATTTTGTGCCAGATCTCATTTTCCAAATCCAATTAAAGGATTATATCACTTATAATTATATATTTTTCCCACACTTTATTGTCAGTTATCAATATATTCAATGCTTCATCTTGTCTATTTCTTCTGTCACTCTATCCATCCCACATCTTTCTCTGGGCACTACAGCTTAGGAACACCTACCCCCCCCCCTTCTTTGTAAAGGTTTCTGAAAATATAATTTAAAAGCATTGCTAGACTTTGTTTCATTGATTTCAAGGTACACAGTGAAATTCTACAGTATCAACAACGTGCAAAAAGTTTGCAGGTGGGAATAACTCCAAATCACTACTGGATACAACCAAGCTGTGTCTAAATATAATCCTTATTATATATTATAGTATTAACTGTTATCAATGGTACGTTATTGCCCTTAGATCCAGGTTTTGCAGTAACTTGAAATCTATTAATATATTTGCACGCTATTGCCATTCTTCCATTAGATGATTCTGGACAAGAGGTGTATTCACGCAACCACCACAAGTTGAACTCAAATCACAGAAGTCTTTTTGTAAAGGTGTACTTTTCATAGCTTGTTTATGAGTCAGTTTTGACAAGCAGATAACAAGGGACCAGTGAGACCAAATAACAAGGTTTCTTTACTTGCTCAGCCTTAGCAAATGTTTAGCAGGTTCATGCAGAAATTCAGTAGGATTTGATCTCTCATAATTTGAAATATTTAATAAGTTTTGGGAGCATGGATATTACAGAATATGTGGATAGATGCTGCACAGTTTTTGTATCTGCAAAAGGCAGGTTTTAAAGCTTTCAAGAAGTCCTGCTCTTTATCTGTACCAACCACAAGCCTCCTGGTTCTAGTGACACTTTTGGGATCCCACCACCGGTGCCCTCTGCACATGGCCTTCTCATCTCTCTTTCTCTTTTGCACAAGACAAAGTCACACTAACGGAACTCCGGTTCTCACCTTTGATGTAGACATCGTCGTCCGCCCGCATGAACCACTCATAGGTGTCCAGGTAGTGGTCGTACATGTACTTGAGCATCATGAAGGATTTCTTTTGCGGTGGGTACGCGTCGTCGACACCGGGCAAAGCCACGACCGGCAGGGGCTGCTCCCCTTTTAGGCCGGGAGGAGGGACCGATCCCTCGCTAGAGAAGAACTCCACCCGGCCGGAGATGGAGCGCGCCCAAGTCCGCTGCGCTGCGAGCGCTCGGCTGCCCAGGTACTTCTGGGCGGTCATCACCCCGACGTAAAGGAAGTGCCGGGTTTTGGCACAACCCGGGGTGCCCGCGTAGTCCCCGCTGCCGTTGTGGCTGCTGCCGTGGCGGCCGGCGCCGCCTTCCTCCTCCTCCTCCTCCTCCTGAGGGTCTCTTCCAGCAGCTGCAACCGGGAGACTCGGCACTGGCCCATCTGCGGCGGGCGGCGCCGGGGGCGGCCGCGGCTCCCTCTCCTTCTCCCACCGCCTGTGTCTCCCGCCGGTGCCCCCCAAGCCGGCGGCCGTCACTGCCGGCTCCTCGGGTCGCAGCTGCCTCTTTCCTCCGGGCAGACCAGCCACGCGGCCGTAGAAAGCACAGAGGTTATTGCTGCCGTCGCCGCCGCCGCCTCCTCCACTTAGGGAGCCGCCGTGG